CACACACACACACACACACACACACACACACACACACACACACACACACACACACACACACACACACACACACATTAATAAGAGCTGCACGCAGTCTCGGACCGTCTCACCTTGATCTTGCTGAGTTTCTTCTGGATCTTGTGGGCCACCTGATCGGACCAGTATTTCTCACGGAGAAAGTCCCAGAAAATCCTCCCCACMAGCGAGTTCACCCAGGTGGGCTGAGCTTCTGCCGAGCACGTCCCTGACTCGGACTCTGCACCTGGGTCAGCTCCAGCTTCACTCCCAGAACCTCGGTCTTCAGCGTGAACCTGCAGTGAACCAAAGAAACTCTGGTGACTTTATTAGACCAAAATAAAGTGATCGTTAATAAAACCGGGCTCTAGAGGAGACGTGATTGCAAGCTTGTACTCACCCCAGTTTGGGGGGAAAAAATAAAGTGAAATTTTGGAGCTGAAGCTAAATAAAACTGTTGCTCGCTGACCTTTTTGCTTGCAGAGGGGCTTTCTTTATTACTATGGCAGGGGCTGGAGGCCGGATTACATTTTTCTGAGCCCRTCAGCTGCGTCATGTATGTGCTGTAGTCCAACAGTGTTCTTGTCTTATTCGGCAACTCAGCCGGATCTTGTGTGCTTTCTTTACCAGCCTCTCCTCCGCTCTGTGCTTCTGAGTGACAGAGAGATTGGTGTTCTGAGATGATAAAACCCTGATCCTCTCTAATCAAAGTAAAGGAATGTTTCCATTTTTAAATAAATCCAAATTTGCTTCTTACCAGTGTTATCCACATCACTCGGGCCGCTTTGTGCTTCAGTTTTAGAGGCCAGCACAAAATGCTGGAACCATTCCTCCTTTTCTCTTCCGGTGCGCCCAAACAGGTAGAGGGTGACAGGAACCTGAGGGTCGGACGTTTTCTCTGCCTTCTTCACGTCCTTCTGTACTTCCAGACTCTCCTCCTCCACCTCCCCTTCAGCCAGAGTGATGCAGATGGGATACTTCTTGTTCCACACCCTCTTACGGGCTAAATTARGCGGCACCAGAAACACCTGGATGGAAAAATTAGTATTAAGCAATAAACAGATGAAGTCCTTACTATTTCATTTAGCATTCTCCAAGTTAAAAAGCTAGAAAATATGAAATATTTAGAAAAGTACAAAAGTTATAGCAGAGACAAACAAGACAAACCACCGTTCAGTTACTAAAAAAGTTACTATTTAKTAATCCTTTCCACTGCTGCCGGTGTGCTGCTCAGGATGGGTATGGGGTGCTGTTTGTAATGTTACACAGTCAAAAATTACCACCAATATTTTTGTTTTATTTAGATTTTTATAAGAAAAAAGAACAGATTTATTTTTCAAAGTCAGTTTTTCACCATATGATTCATTCATTTATAAATGTCATCATTTATAAACTAAATATTAACTTACAAATTAAATATTTAGTTGACAAGCTAAATATTTAATTTGTGACTAATATATTTAGTTTTGAGCTAAATGTTTAGCTTGCAACTTACATATTTAGCTACCTAAATATTTAGGTTGCAACTTAAATATTTAGCTAGCCACCTAAATATTTAACTTAAATATTTAGCTAGCTACCTAAATATTTAGGTTGCAACTTAAATATTTAACTTGCTGCCTAAATATTTAAGTTGCTAGCAAAATATTTAAGTTGCAAGCTAAACATTTAGCTCTAAACTAAATATATTAGTCACAAATTAAATATTTAGCTTGTCAACTAAATATTTAATTTGTAAGTTAAATATTTAGTTTGTAAACTATGACATTTATAAATGTATGAATCATATGGTCAAAAACTGACTTTGAAAAATAAATCTGTTCTTTTTTTTCTTATAAAAATCTAAATAAAACAAAAATTTTGGTGGTAATTTTTGACTGTGTAACTTTACAAATGGCACTCCATAGATGGGAGACTGTGATGTGAGTGAAGAAGRGTGAAGTTTCAACAAAACTTGGTGGCGTCTTGAAATTGTTTTTGTTTTTTTGTTTTTTTCCAGATGTTGTTTGTTATTACTTGGCGCCATAGAAATGAACTGGATTGAATTTACACAGTGTTCAAGCTTTATTCTGTAATTCCAGTGAAATCCTACAGGCTGCTTCAGGGAAGCAAAGCGGTCAGCTTCATTCTTCACATCAACACGTAGTTCTTCAGGTCTTTCACCGCCGTGTTGGATGACAAAGGAGGTGCAGAGCGATAAGTGTGGAGGTGAGAGGTCACCCCTCTCTCCATGCACTAACAAATTAGAGTTTGTCTTTCTGCAGCACACTCACCTTACTGTTGGCCAGCTGGTAGGTGCAGGAACGCAAAAACACGGCCTCATGCGGCGCCTCGTCAAAAGCTGCCCACCGGGGGATGCTGGCACAAGGGTAGGCCAGGTGCAGCCAGCTGCCCTCCAGGGTCACGTAGACCGAGTGGGTCAGGGAAGGGTGGAAGGTCTCCGGATCGTAGGCGGGTGCCTCGTTCATCCAGCCCTGCAAACAAATCTGTCTCATTAATGCATATTACCTCAAAATGAGTTTATTAAGCCGTCATTTATTTACGGGTTCTTCTTTTCTTTTTCTTTTTTTAGCTAACTAACAGTTTTGCATCTTTTCTAATAAGAAATCTGTGCCAAACAGAAGACTCTTCTCATCACTTTCATGTTTTCTCCACAGTTTAGTTATTTTCTCAGTGAGTTTTAGAATGCTGAGTCAGCATTTACAATACTGTTTATAATTTCTTTCAAATGTTTTGCATACGTGTAAAAAAAAGGGGCAGATATTATAAGATTTATTCTTCTTCTGCTGCCTTTCATTTTATTTAGATTTTATTTTGATTGCATGTTTTTGTTCTTTGTTATTTTGTGTTACAAATGAACTGAACAAATTTCTAAATTAAAAATAAATAAAATATTTTGTGTTATTTTAGACATTCAAACATAAAAAATGTTCGGATCGGTATGCAATATAATGAAATGTTCTTTGGGAATTTACACTTTTTGATCTATAAATTTTATTTACAAATTTTCCCTAAAAGATCATCAAGATTTATTTAATTCTTTCAAAACTGTTTTCTCTTTGACAACTTCAGCACAGATGTTTTTTTTTTTCTTTCTTGTGCTAATATTAGCTTTAATTTTCTGTTTGGCTGATTTAAGCTTTTATTTAAAATGTTGCCAATTTTAGCTTATCTCTACAGTTTTCCTGATTTTAGCTTAAGTTTAGCTCATTTTAGCTTGTWGTTACTGTACTACTAGTTTATGATTTTAGYTAATGTTTTGCTAATTTTAGCATTTAGTTYCCACATTGCGAGTTTTTGCTTTTAACTTGTTTTGCTGATCTTAGTTTTTAGYATCGCTGGTTTAAGCTTCTTATTTCTGTTCTGCTATTTTAACTTCCTGTTTTTCTTYTGCTAATTTTTGACTTTTGTTGAAATTTTAGCTTTAGTCACCATTTGTCTGGTTTAAGGATGTTTTTGTTATTGACCTGCTTGATTCAGCTTCTCCAACAAAATCCAGCAAAACCATTCACATTCACTCTCCTTTTTATTGATTTTTTTTTTAGTTACCTCCAGGATTTCTGTATCTCCGAGCTTTCCATCCAGTGGATTCATGCTCGTAGGTTTAGTCTTGTTTAGGGACCCCTGTTTGCTTCTGGTAGCTGATTGTCGGGGGGCGAACATGAACACAACGACCAAGCCCAACATAAAGCCACATGCAATCCCCAGAGAGAGGCCTGCCACGTACGGAGGCACAGGCAGCACAAAGAGCCCATAAACTAGAAGGCCAACAAGGAGGAGCCAGTGAAGCGGCAGAGGTGAACCTGCCAAGGTGACTCGGGACCGGGTGTTGTGATGATGCGTTGGTCTGGGTTCGTTCTGGAGCTCCACCACTTGAAGAACGTCTCCGTAGGTGCAGATTTCTAAACGGCTGTCTCTGCTGAGGGGGCGGTGTTCTGGGGAGGCGAAAGGTTTGATTATTGGATCCCTTTGAAGCTTTTGGAGCGGGGTTTCACACTCAGCTCTGTGCTCGCTGTTGGTTCTCCTCCTCCACCTGAGATCTGCATCTTCACTGATGACGTCTTTTTCACAGCCGCCCTGGAGGGACGGAGAGTCTCCTGTACCAGAGCCCCTCCTCTGCTTGGGGCTTCCYGAGCTCTCGTCCCCCATGATCTTACTCAGCATGCTGAGCGGGTCATGCATGGCCTCTGAGAACTTCCTCCTCGTGTCCTCCAGCTCGGCGATCAGCGAGCTGCCTCGAGGTTCTGTGGGAGACATGCTGCCTGTGGACGGAGGGGACCTCCAGTCCTCGTTCTCAGTCCGCTCCTCCCCTTCGGGCCTGTCCTCAGGGATCCTCGGGTGTGTAACCTGCTTCCAGGGCTGTAAATGCAGCTTGGAGTCGGACTTGGAGAGATTAACCTCAGGCTCGACCCGACGGGAGATCTCCGTGCTGAGGGACTTGACCAGACTGAGGAGAGGTTTGCCTCTCAGTGCGCTGCTCTCTGCCTCTACCTTCAGGTCTGTGGAGGAGGATTTGACCAGTCCGGGGGTGATGAGCAGGTCTGCTGACGGTGCTGACAGATCGGATAAAGAGCCCGGGGATGAGGGGGAGTGATGCAGCAGGAGAGGCTGGGAGCGCTGGCCTTGGTTCAGGTCTAGACTTATGTCCAGGCTGCAGTCAGACCAGTGTTCCCTTGAATGCACTTTGTCTTTCGAGAAGACCACAGTGGGGCCATCATCACGGCGATCCAGGCTGAAGATCAGCTTGTTCTCCTCCATGACAGCTAAATGGCGTTAAAATGAGAAGTGGTTCAAAGAAATGGATCTACAGGTCTCTGACGTCCGGTTGATCACATCAGGTCCTGCAGAGAGGAATGAGAAATAATAAACTGTGGCTTTCATAGAAACTGAAACACARATCTTCTATTTTCTTTGTTTTGAAAATCTTTCAGATTATATCATTACCCTTCTTTCTGATCCCCTCCTCCTGTCCCCACCTGACCCCTGAGTGTGTGCAGACCTATAAAAAGTCCCAGCTTGTTTACAAGACACAATCAGAGACGTGTATCATGGGAGGCAGACTAATACCCCGAGAGCCAACAGAGCTACATGATCCAGACCACAAGTGGATTAACTGTAATCCTCCAAACTAAAGAGGATTTTATATCAAGAAATGAAGTCAGCTGGGACACAAGTCATACAGCTGAATCAGCGGGTATTCTAGAAACACTGTCATCCTATTCTGCCCGATTTGTGGAACATTAAAATGCACTGCCACGATTTATTTAATTGCTTCGTGCAGTTTTCTCATGAACGCGTCGTAAATTTCAACATTTCAGTTAACTTTGACATCCTCGAGTGTTTGAATCTCTACACAAAGTTTGTCAGAAGAGTTTGTTTGACCCCTCTTTTCGTCAAGTCTAATTAAGCAAATGTGCTGCTCTGTTTATACGGTTCAGCCRCTGCAGACAGTTCAGCTTCACCCGAATCAATTCCTGCTCCGGAGTCGATCTGGAGGAGGTCCGCGCTGACAGAGAGAGAAAAACCTCAGTGGAGTATCGAGTCAGCGCGGAGTTTTGGCAGCTTTCCATTTAGAAGCGCAAGATCCACTCCTGCACAAAGAAGAAGATGGAGAATTTGAACCATAACTGGATAGAAACAGAACGTTTGACTCCTCTAGAAGAGAGGCGGGTATATGAATTTTTATATTAACTAAAAAGATACTCTAAAGCTTTTAAAGTTGGGGTCGTGACCCTTGCTTGAGTCGTGAAGTTGWGTGGGTGGTTCTTTTCTACGTAAATCAAATCAAGTTTTAAAAGATGGCCAGCTACGCCTCAGACACCAACAATCATAACTGATCAACATGATGGTTGAGGCTCTTTCATTAACAGCTTTGTAGTGCTGACCAGTCACCAAACTTTTAGGCTCCTGACCCAAAAATAAACTGTGACAGAGGCTTCGTCTGTTGGCTGTTTGTGTAAACAAAAAACGAGAGTAACTCAATTAAACACGGTATAGTCGCAACAAAAAAAGTCCTAATACCCACAATATTGTTTTAATTATTTTTTATGATCTGTTTTTATGCTTTGTAACAAGGGAGGTGAACATTTGAAATAAGAAAACCATTTTAAATGTAAGCTTTTATCTGGAGATTAGCCACAGACCCCCACTTAATGTTTGGTGACCCACACTGGCCCATTGATTGATTGATGCGGCCCCCCRGGTGAATCAGTTCAAACTGTGGATCAGGTACAATACCTTTAAAGGGACTCATCACAAACTCATGAAGACTGGGCAAAATTAAAAATAAACCATAAACAAGAAAATCAAACACCTCACACCAGTGATTTAAAAACTGCTGAATTTATGAACAGCTAACAACAACCAGGTGTGTTTGTTTACCTACAGAAACAGCTGAGGTGACAGAAAACAGGTGAACAATGGCGACTTCCAGAAGAACCATTTGGGAATAAAAAGTCAGACAGTTTGGTGTATTTACACTTAGATTTGTTATCAAATATGTCGATAAAAGAGTTTTGTTTACATTAAGTGCATACCCGCATTTCAGAATTGCAAATCAACATCTGAATTGCATATTTGAAAAAAACTGGAGTAAATTCTTTGAAACTGCACCACAAGATATTGTTCAGGGTAAACTGTTTATGAAGCATCTTTAAATACTAAAACAGAATAGGAAAATAGCTAAATTAATTTAAATTTTATCATAGTAAAATTACTGATCGTAAATTTCCCAGCTTTTGCTTCTTTTGATTCTTACATGGGACTAACTGGAACAAAACATTATTATATGAGAAAATGTTAAATAAGAGCTCTGCAGAACACATAAACAGAAATTAATCTATGTGATGCTTTTGCTTAATCCTGCTGTGAAAGTGCCATTTTGACCCTGGTGTCTGATACATTTTGGTCTGGATTTTTATCAAGGGTTTCACTGTTTTTCAGCACTTGTGGCACATAAACCCGCCAAAAGTACCTGACTGATGTTTTTTTTTTTTTTTTTTCATTTTATTTAGACACTTTACCAGGGTAAATGTAAATGCTGTGGTAAATTCAATCCAGAATACTCACCAGAATCTGTCATGTTTGAAAAGATGCTCTTCTGTCAACAGCAGAGGTTTAAGGTCCAGGAGTGGGGGGGAAATAGCTGTTTTCTGCAGGGGGGGAAAAAAAGGCTGCAGTGTTGAGTGCGACAGCTGCAGAGCGCAGTGTGATGCTGCTGCTGCACACAGGGATGCAGATTTTCACCCAACTTTACCATCAGAACACAACAAGCACATCACAGCCTAAAAAAAAAAATTAAAAAACACAGAAGAAGTTGCTWAAAACGTGAAATCAGCGGTGAAGTCGCCAGCTCCGCCTGAACTTGAACGCACCACCATCGATGCGCCGCTCGATTTCGTCGCTTTGAGCTCAGTTCAATTTATTTATACCGCCATGACTGAGTCCTGACTGCAGGGAGGACGACCCTTTAATCCGGATTAGGATGTGAGAGGCCAACCGAGCGGCGACTCCTCCTCCTCCTCTCTGCTTCATCAGGCGTCAAAACACAAACTCCTCACTGCAGCAGATTATTTTTAAAGGCACGAGGCTGGAAAACTGTTTCAAACACTGGACTCATTCATTTCTGTTAAAGGGATAATCCGGACATTTTGATCTGAGGCGACGCATTAAAAAGTATGAGCAATATATTTGCAGACCACGTGACCCACGCTGGAAAAATAAGTCCCAATGACAGTATTTTTTCTATATTGAGGTTTTTTTTTTCCAAATCTCCCACCTTAAAAACTTCAAAGTGAAACATGTCTGAAATTATAAATCAATAGAGCAAAATGGAAAAATGTGACTCATGTTGTCTGTTGAATGTTCATGGGTTGACTGGGTTGTTTTAGTGCTTTAAAATTAATTTCTGCTAAATTTTTCAGTGCGTTAGTGCTTTAGAATTAAGGGACCTACGTATTTGAGTTAGTGCTTTAGGGCTGGTGAAACTAATTGCTGTCCACCACTGCTARTTTTGTTTGAAAACTCAATTTGTATTTCTCTGGATGATGTCATGGGGAATTCCAGCCATGCATTTTAAATGGGAATGTCTAAACTTCACAGATGCCTTTCACTATACAAAGGAATATCCCAGATGAGAAAAAAATAATTAAAAAACAGAATTTATAAAGGTTATAAGCAATTATTTTTGAAGAAATATTTTTAATAAGGTGGATTGGGAAGAGTTTATCCTATTTTAGTTTAATTGTCTCTTTATGGACGTTTTAGAAAATCAAATTTTTTATTTATTTTTGCTCTGCAGCTTGCACTCACTGACWCATTTTGCCAACTTGAGTCACATATGAAGACGATAAAGCTGCAAAGAACTGTCAACATTAGTGTTAACAGGCAGGACTGCTGCCTCCTGTTGAAAAGGAAAACATTTGGTTTCTTCATAAAGCAGCTGAAAACAAAAACTAATAAGATTTTATATCATCTATACAATATACTTACAAATTGTTCATACCATGTTCACTAAACCTGCTTTAGGTGAGTATTTTACACTAGAGTAGATATATTTGTGGATGCTGCAACAAAATTTTCTAATGTTTTTAGAAATTTTAGATAAAACATTTCAAAGTAGTAACCACTGAATATTACGGTTATACAGTACATAACACCAGCTCTGGTAGCATTTGTGCTTTYTATTCCAATTTATTTTTTCTTCAATTATCTGCTGGGGATGGTCAGGAAACAAACAGGCCAACATCATATATGTTATAATCTTTATTACTGGGTCAACCAAAAGTTTAAACACATAAACAAACCTTGAAAAAAAAAACAAAAAACTGTTGGCTGTCCTAGATGAGCGCTATTTCATGAAAAAAATTAAACCCAACTTTTTTTCTGCTGGGTCGTGTAAGGCCACAGCCATTCTGAAGAGGTCTGTCATTTTATCTTTGCAACTTTGGTACAAACAGTTTTATTTACATATCAAACATCAAAGCTAATTTTACAAGCTGAATATCCCTGTGATGAGGAAATTAGAAGTGGCAGTCAGAACAAGTCTGCATCGCAACTTCAGCTTTAATTTCGGTTTCTTTTGGAAAACAGTATCCGTTTAATGCAAGCCACTCAGACTAGCTAAAACGTTGTTTTATTTAACAATATATAAGATTATCTTGTGTCCTCTAAAGCAAACTAAGAATTTGTTTTACACACTTTTGTGAAACAAGAGGTCATTAACTCTCCTAAAATATAGAGCTGAGCTGAGGAGTCTTTGGGGTTTCAGAAAAACAGAAAAGCTCTCAAATATTCCCTGGCATGCAGGGAAAAAAATATTCACAACGTCTCAAAAGGTATTAATAAATTTGAAATACATATAGGTTTGGTCTGGTTAATTTAGCAGTTTTGTTTCAGCCGTTTAATGGTTCTTCATGTGCACTTTGAGGTTACATCTTAAGCTGAACGTCTTACCACAAACAGTGCAGGCGTGGGGCTTCTCCCCAGTATGCGTGATCATATGCCGCCTCACGTGCGCGCCATTGTAAAACTTTTTACCGCAAACGTCACAGGAGAAGGGTTTCTCCCCCGTGTGGTATCTTAAGTGTTGGCTGAGGGCGCTGCTTGTGACGCAGAGTCTGCCGCACAGGCGACAGTGATAGGGTTTCTCTCCTGTGTGACTTCGCTTGTGAATCGCCACGTTCTGGCTCTGGCTGAAAGCCTTGCCGCAAATCTCACAGCGGTAGGGTTTCTCGCCCGAGTGCGTCCTCACGTGCACAACGAGGTGCTCTTTGCGGTAAAAGGCTTTCCCGCACTCCCGGCACACAAAGTCTCTGTTGCCCGTGTGTGTTTTCATATGCCGGTTGAGGCGACGCTTGGCGGTGTAAGTCCGGCCGCAGACGTCGCAAAAATGGGACTTCCTGTGAAACTGCTTCAAATGTTTGATCAGTTTGTTTGCCGTTTGGTGTTTCAGCCCGCAAAACCCACAATCTCTAACACCTTCATGTGTTTTCATGTGATTTTTCAGCGAGGTGCTGTTCAAGTAGGATTTACCACACAAACGGCAAAAGTTGCGCTCTTTTTCTTCTTCAACAGGTTGACTTTCTGCTTTGTTGTTTTCAGTGTTGTTGCCTCCTGTGTTGTTGTTCATCAGCTCCTCTTCATCTTTACTCTCACCCAAAGTTGCTCCTGAGCTGAAGGAAAATGGATTTATGTTTATTGGCTGATGCTGATCCTCCTCAGATTCCATAAAACCAGTCTCTCGTGTTTGGTTTACATCCACAAGATCCTCTTCCTCCTCTTTTATCTCGACCATTTTGAAGTCTGTTGCAGGAAAGCTCCAGGTATCAGAGGCCAGATCAGCAGGGGACTGAGACAGCCGTGAAACTTCTGGATCCGGACAGAGGTTTGACAGCTCGGTTGAACGTAAATCTTGGTTTTCCTGCAGCACAGAGATGTCGCCTTCATCTCCATGATTTGTGGTAGAAGTGTTCAACAGAAACCCTGCAGGAAAAAAGGAAAACAGTCACAGAATTAATGTACATCACAAGTATTGCATTTGAGTAAAAAGACCAGGGGTCGGATTTATAAAACTGGCGTACGCACAAAAGGAGCCCAGAAACTTGCGTACGCCACTTTTCACGCCAAGGTTGTGATTTACAAAATCCAAACTTGACGTGAAAATGTGCGGTGCCTCACTCCAGCTTTGACCCATGCGTACGCTCATTTTGGAGATGGGAARCTGCGACACAGAYGGTGAAGTGAGGAATTAGAGCCACACTGTGTAATGATCACTGTCAGAATTTACCTTCATAATCAGACTTAGGAAAATGCGCTGAAACATGCGTACGCACGGTTTTATAAATCAGAAAAAAAAAATTGGCGTATGCCATTTTTGTCTTTTGGCCGTACATTCACTTTTAGTATGGTTTCCACGCAGTCTTTTATAAATCTGACCCCAGTGCTGTTCTTTAATACGTAGCAATTTGTTGAGCCAGTTTTCCAGTTGCACAAACACTTCATCATAAAACTATATATATTTTAAAGAAAATACAAATAATGGTTATGTAGTGTTCTAATTATTAAGACATCAAAATGAATAAATATTACATGGTAAGGTTAACTGACCGCTCTTTTGTGCCTAAAACATTTAAATCAGCAGGGGGCGCTAATGAGCATGTAGACTCACATCCCAATACAATTAGCAGTCGCTTCAACAAACTTTATCTGGTCATCATTAATAGTAACAAAATCTTAAACGAAAACTGACAGCAGTGCAACAAACCTGTTTTCTCTGTAGGTGAACTAAGCTGGTGTCGCAGATTTTGTTCGAGTCGAGCATCTTCGGCTTCTGATAAAGCTAGCATGTTCTCAACTTGTCCGAGGATGTCTTCTGCTGCTGCATACATCCGCTGGTGGACAAACAACCGCAGCTGAATCATTGTTGCACTCTTAAATTAACAAACTATTAAAGGACAATAATAATAATACAATAGTAAGAAACAGWGAGCTAAGCTTTCGTATGGAGCTGCTACAATCCAAAAGTGTGAACAGGTGTTGTACGAAATTCAGTTCCCTGTGAAAATCTGTTTCCCCTGTGTTGGAAGCGCCTCCGCGGCGATAGGATTGGTCTGGCGTTATGCCAGGACCAGAGCTCTGGCCAGGACCGGTGACTCTCTCTCTCATTATGGGGGAACCGATTTTTGTACAACACCGGTAAATCCCACTCGCCTTTCCGGGTTTCAGTTATTCAAAATAAAAGCATGAAAACTGGCCGCCAAATTTTAAGAAATTAAGCRACTAAACTACTAAAACGACATTGAATTAACAATCCTTTAAAAATAATTTTAATCAAATTATTTACAACAAGTCTATGAATTTATTATAGCAATGTTTTATGT